GAGGCAGGAAGGGATAGTGAGAAGGCAAGCCACCAGGTCAAGGGCTCAAACTGTGTTCAGCCATGTGGGAGTCCAACGCCCTTAACCTCCACACCATCTGCCGACCCAGGTTTTGTTTTTTTTTTTTAAGAGAAATTTCTGCTCTAGGTTGTATGTGCTCACCAGAGAGACAGAGAAAGAGAAAGTAAAAAATCCCCCCCCCCCCTTGGGGATGGCCATGCCATAATTCCGTCTGCTCCATTTTCCTCTTGGGATCTTGGGCACACATGTACGCATGGCTGGAATGAGTTTTGAGCCACCAAATCTGGGACTCAAACTGTGCTCATGTGTCATGTGAAAGTCCAGCACCTTAACCACCATGCAACCTACTAGCCTCTATTTATTTATTTTAATTTGCCGAGAGAGAGAGAAAGTGAGAAAGCAAGCTATGGGGTCCGGGACTCAAACCACAGCTGGCCGTGTGGGAATCCAACGCCTCAACTACTACACCACTACTACTCCACCCCATCTTTTTTTTTTTTTTTTCAGAGAGGTTTTTGCCATAGGGTACTTGCGCTCACTAGAAAGACACAGAGAGACAGAAAGTGAGAAATCACCCCCCAGGGCGGATGGCCACACCACAGTCCCTTCTCCTCCATTCTCCTCTCGGAGAATGGCTCACACACGTACCTGGTGTGAGTTTAAGCCACCGGATCCAGGACTTGAACCATGGTCGACTACTTGGGAGTCCAGCAACATAGCCATTACGCCAATGCTAGTTCCCATTTTTGTTTTTTTGTAACATAGATGATATACAGATCATTCTGACCTTTGTTTTTCTATTTAATGAAATACCTTGGCGATCTCCACTTGTGCAGACACAGAATGAGGTTTCATTCTGTTGCATAGTTGTCTGTTCTATGGGCGAGTCATAGTACATAGAACCACTCTCTCCAGTCTTTTACTGTACCATTTTTCATTACTGTTACTAACAGTGATACAATATGTTGACATACTGTAGTTTTTTATTTCTATTGTATATATTTTATAATTTTAAATTACAGCTAGGTTATCCCGACACAATATTCAAATATTCATATGTGCAACTTTTTCCAACTGCCTAGAATTTTAAATGAGTCAAATAATCACTTTTGTAATCTACGTTTTAAAAGTAGGAAAACATGGGCCAGCAGGTGGAATGGTTGCTAAGGGCACTGGACTCCCATATGGCCGACCGCACTTCAAGTCCTGGACTTGGTGGCGTGCTTTCTTGCTTTTTCTCTCTCTCTCACTCTGTCCCTCTCTGGTCAAATTAAAATAAAGGGACTGGTAGGTAGCATGGTTGTTAAGGTGCTGGACACTCCCATATGGCTGACCATGGTTCAAGTCTCGGACCTGGTGGCTTGCTTTCTCACTTTCTCTCTGATCAAATGAAAATAAATGAATCAATAAATAAAAACTTAAATAAATAATTTTTTATAAAATAAATAAGGTTAAATAATATAATTCCTTTTTTTAATTAATTTTTTGAAAATAATTATTTTATTTACTCATTCATTTATTTTTAATTTGACCAAAGAGAGACACAGAGAGAGAGAGAAAGAGGGAAAGTGAGAAAGCAAACCACCAGGTCTGGGACTTGAACCATGGTGGGCCATGTGGGAGCGTCCAGCATCTTAACCACCACGCCACCTGCTGGTCCCAGTATAATTCTTTTTTAAAAAGTAGGAAAATAGAACTTGAATAATCAAATATTGTTTTTCCTACAGCTTGGTGAACTATTGAAAGATTGGCGACGTCTTAATGTTGCTATAACCAGAGCCAAACATAAACTGATTCTGCTGGGGTGTGTGCCCTCCCTAAACCGTTATCCTCCTTTGGAGAAGCTCTTTTTTCATCTAAACTCAGAGAAAATGATATCCTTTTTATCCTGTGTATGATCGCATTTGGTTGTGCTACTGTGAGTAATTTTGTGTCTACTTGTGTAATTTAAAACTCAGTATCTTATGTTTTCCATGGGCATATTTCAGCGATCTCATTCTGTAAAGGAAATCAGAAGCAATTCATAGGAAGTGAGTAAAGCCAATAGTGAAATAATGCAGGTGATGGAGGAGGACAGTTTGTGAAGTAAGTAAGGAATTAAAAAAGAACTTGATCTGTTGACCTAGAACTAGCACATGTAAGGAAATTGTGTGTCTGTTCTGGTTCTTCTCATCCCAAATTTACAGGCTTTATAAATCCAGGACAAAGTATTTTTTTTGGTTTTAAAGAGATTTTTGCTATAGTATATGAGTGCTCACTGGAGAGACAGAGAGAGAGACAGAAAGTGAGAATTCACCCCCCAGGGGGGCTGGCAACACTGTAATTCCTTCTCCATTTTCTTCTTGGGATCTTGGCCATGCATGCACACATGCCCAGCATGAGTTTCAAGCCTCCAGGTCTAGGACTTGAACCGTGGTCAGCTGTGTGGAAGTCCAGCAACATAATCATTATGCCATCTGCTGGTCTCCAAAGTATTATATTAATAGAGAATTTTTCTTTGTCACAATAGATTACATTAAAAATAAATTATTAAGAAGTTTTATATGGACTGGCTCAGTAGTGTAAAGGTAACATGCTGCTTAAGAGAAGCCAGAGAAATATGCTGGGTATGTGTGTGTGAGTGCCCCAAATCCCAACAAGATAGAGAAATGGAGGAGATGGAATTATGGTGTGACCATGTCCCATGAGGGGTGCTTTCTCCTTCCCTCTGTCTCTGTGTGTGTGTGTCTGGTGAGCACACATGCCCTCTGGCAAATAAATTTTATTTATTTATTTATTTTTCTTTATTTGGAGAGGTTTTTGCTATAGGGCATGTGCACTCGCCAGACAGAGAGACTTCATTCTCCGCTCGGGATCTTGGGCACGCATATACACGCGCCCGGCATGAGTTTAAGCCACCGGGTCTGGGACTCGAACCACAGTCGACCACGTGGGAGTCCAGCAACATAGCCATTAGGCTAACTGCTGGTCCTTATTTATTTATTTATTTTTAAAAGAATTATTTTAGGGACCAGCAGTTGGTATAATGGCTATGTTGCTGAACTCCCACGTAGTCGACTGCAGTTTGAGTCCTGGACCCGGTGGCTTAAACTCACTCTGGGCGCATGTGCATGCGTGCCCAAGATCCCGAGAGAAGAATGGAGAAGGGATTGTGGCGTGGCCATCCCCCTGGGGGGTGATTTCTCGCTTTCTGTCTCTCTGTCTTCCTGGCAAGTGCATGCACCCTATAGCAAAAACCTCTTCAAAAAAAATTTTTTTTTCTTAAAAGAGGAAAAAAGATTTATTTTATTTAACTTTCTTTATTTTATTTTGACCTTAGAGAGACAGAGCGAGAGTGATAATGAGAGAGAGTGAGAAAGCAAGCCACCAGGTCTGGGACTTGAACCACAGTTGGCCATGTGGAAGTCCAGAGCTCTTAACCATCATGCCATCTGCCAGTCTCGGCAAATGAATTGTAAAAGATAGAGAAGCCAGATCCCACATAGTGACCATAGTTTGAATCCTGGCCTGGTCAGCATGAAGCACGTTAGGCACTCACCTGAGTAGCGAGGTTCATTGGGCTAGAGGACTGGGGAAAGGGGATTGCGGTGTGTCCAGACCTGCTGAATTAAACTAATCTGTCTCTTTCTCCCCCTCCCTTTTCATACCTCCCTTCATTCTTTCCCTTTCTCTCCCCTTTGCGTGCACATATACTCTTTCATGAATAAAAAGAAAAAAATACGTGTCTGAAGGTGCCAGGCTAACATAAATAAATTACGTTGCATGAGTACACGATGAGCCAAAACATGCCATAACCATCTTTACCTTTTTTTTGTAGTCTTGTAAACTGAATTACAAAATGTTAGATAATAATGTCATAAATGTTTTTATGCTGTTCCATGTTTTGTTAAATATATCTTCCTGGGACCAGCAGTTAGTGTAATGGCTATGTCGCTGGACTCCTATGTAGTCGACCGCGGTTCACGTCCCGGACCCGATGGCTTAAACTCACGCCAGGCGCGTGTGCGTGCGTGCCCAAGATCCCGAGAGGAGAATGGAGGAGAAGGGATTGCGGCGTGGCCATCCCCCCTGGGGGGTGATTTCTCGCCTTCTGTCTCTGTCTGCTCTGTCTGGCGCGCGCACACGCCCTATAGCAAAAACCTCTCAAAAAAAAAAAAAAATCTTCCTTAATTTATTGTACATCATCGATCTTCCATCAAAAGAACATGAAAGTCTTTGCCACATCCTGGGCAATAATCTCAGAGCATGAAGCACTACTTCCCTTGCCATTTCATCCCAGGGTAATGTCTCCTCTAGCTGGTGCCACGTTCATCATTTGGGTTCGCTGTGAAAATAGCAGCTGGTCAGACTGTGAAGATAACTTATATCCAATGGGTACAAAATGCAGTCGCTATACTCTGTTCAGGGTTTCAGGTTTTTTGTTTTTAATTTTATTTTTTGGTATAAATCTTCTTAAACAGAATTCTGTTACCATACAACACTTAACGCAGTATTTGTTTTTTAAGTATTGGTGTACCCCAAACTGAGAAGTCTTTATAAGTACTAAAAATGTATTTTTGTATGACCTAGAAAAAGAGTTTGATAAATCTTTTACCAGCTTCAAAAATAGAAGAACTTTCGGATCTGAGCTTTGAACTTCTAAGTCTAAAATTTCAGGACTAATTTGATTTTGTAGATTTTATAATAAGCATTTTATTTGAAAGAACCGTTACAGAAAGTTCATTCGTTTTCATCATTTACGTACAGCCTTGTGATGACGAGAGCATAGGTGTGATTCTTTTCTATATTTCAAGGTCTCTGATCCAGAGGCCATTTTGCTGATTTCGCTTTCTGGTATTAGATGTGTTTTCACTTTAACCGTGGTCTTCTAAATTATGAATTAATTTCTTCCAATTAATTTCCTATTTCTCCTTACTGTCCCTGTTTTTGTTTTCAGCATTCAGTATATCAATATCCTAGGATACATTTTGATATAAAATACAATTTTTATCCTTTTGAGAAGAAATTTTGTATTGTGAATTGGTCATAAATTGAAAAGGTATTTCCCTATTTTTACTTATTTATCTTTCTATACCCCTTTGGGCACAATACTTAATTTTCTCTTTTTGAGTAAAGCTCTTTTGTAAAACAAAATTACCTCCAAAGGATTAAGTATGGATATGGTAACAGATTTTAACCTCCCTTTATTCATCTTTGGGTGTGGGAAACCACTTCTCTTGAGTTGGGTTTTTTTTTTTTAATATGTATTAAATATGTTAAAAAATTTTTGCATCTAACTTGTGGCAGTGTTTAAAAATTATTACTTGAAGTTTTTATTTAATAAATTGTTTTCTACTATGGACCTTACTCTGTCAGTTATTACTAACACTGAATAATCCAGTGTCATCCAGCATCTTGCCCAGTAGTGATAACTGAAATGTTGATCATGCTCCAAAGCTGAAGTCAAGGAGTACTGATATTATGAAGAGATTTATGAAATATGCAAAGGATGGGCATGATCATAGAGAGATCAGACAGGAAAAACTGGAAAGCCTGCTGTGATAGGACTTAAATACTGGTTAGAAGTCATGAAGAGTTAAATCAGGAAGGAATTTAAAGATAATTTCATTTCCTCAGCCAGGTCAAGATGTGAACCACAGTTAGCCATGTGGGATACAGCTGCCCCAATCATCGCTGGTCCTGATGTTTTCTTTCTCCCTTTCTAATTGAGAGAAAGAGGGAGAGAAAGCAATGGAACTTGGTCACACTGCAATCCTTTTCCTCCATCTCTCTATCCTGTCAGGAGTTGGGGCACACACACTTAGGTATTTTCCATGTTCCTCAAGCTACCAGATTGGCACTCAAACCACAGTGGGCCATGTCGAATCTGGTTTCCTTTCTTCTTCTTTTTTATTTTTAGAATTATTTATTTAATGTTATATATCATTATTATTTAATTTGCTAAGAGGTGTGTGTGCTCCCAGAGAGACAGAGCGAGAAAGTAAGCTGCCAAGTCCAGGACTTGAACCGTGGTTGGCTATGTGGGAGTCCAGTGCCTTAACCACCATGCTACCTGCTGGCTCTGAATCTGGTTCCTAATACACAGCATGTAAGCACTGTGCTACGGGGCCAGCCTGCTGCTTACAGATTTGTATGGCTGAAAGGTACAAGCTGCATAGAAGAGCCTGGCAAGGAGGTCCGTGTTCCCTCCATTTTTATATCTGTTTATGTCCCATGACTCTAGCCATTTAATTATTTCAAAGTTACCATCTTCATATAAGGTGTTGCAAGTTGGAGGTGAAAGCCTAGACCAGACCTCCAAGGAGCTCATAGTGCAACACCATGTGACACCCATGCTAAGGGCCAAGAGCAGCAGTGGCTACCAGTCCTTCACCAGTCACTCACCCTGCACAGTTCCTGAGCAAAAGTGCCATTAGCCTAGACAACTTTGTAGACTGTGAAGACATTTCATGGCTGCATTCCTCAGTTCAGTTTCTGATAGCTGACCTGCTCTTATTTATGTTTCCTTGCCTTTCCCCTAATTCGTCACTCTTTTTTTAAAATACTTATTGATTTGATACCATTTATTGTTATTTTTAAAATTTTTATTTATTTATTTATTTATGTTTAATTTGACCAGAGAGAGAGAAAGGAAAAGTGAGAAAGCAAGCTGCCAGGTCCGGGACTCAAACCGCAGTCAGCCCTGTGGGAATCCAGCACCTTTAACCACCACACCACCTGCTGGTTCCTTTTTTTAAAAATTATTACTTGAAGTTTTTATTTAATAAATTGTTTTCTACTATGGACCTTACTCTGTCAGTTATTACTAACACTGAATAATCCAGTGTCATCCAGCATCTTGCCCAGTAGTGATAACTGAAATGTTGATCATGCTCCAAAGCTGAAGTCAAGGAGTACTGATATTATGAAGAGATTTATGAAATATGCAAAGGATGGGCATGATCATAGAGAGATCAGACAGGAAAAACTGGAAAGCCTGCTGTGATAGGACTTAAATACTGGTTAGAAGTCATGAAGAGTTAAATCAGGAAGGAATTTAAAGATAATTTCATTTCCTCAGCCAGGTCAAGATGTGAACCACAGTTAGCCATGTGGGATACAGCTGCCCCAATCATCGCTGGTCCTGATGTTTTCTTTCTCCCTTTCTAATTGAGAGAAAGAGGGAGAGAAAGCAATGGAACTTGGTCACACTGCAATCCTTTTCCTCCATCTCTCTATCCTGTCAGGAGTTGGGGCACACACACTTAGGTATTTTCCATGTTCCTCAAGCTACCAGATTGGCACTCAAACCACAGTGGGCCATGTCGAATCTGGTTTCCTTTCTTCTTCTTTTTTATTTTTAGAATTATTTATTTAATGTTATATATCATTATTATTTAATTTGCTAAGAGGTGTGTGTGCTCCCAGAGAGACAGAGCGAGAAAGTAAGCTGCCAAGTCCAGGACTTGAACCGTGGTTGGCTATGTGGGAGTCCAGTGCCTTAACCACCATGCTACCTGCTGGCTCTGAATCTGGTTCCTAATACACAGCATGTAAGCACTGTGCTACGGGGCCAGCCTGCTGCTTACAGATTTGTATGGCTGAAAGGTACAAGCTGCATAGAAGAGCCTGGCAAGGAGGTCCGTGTTCCCTCCATTTTTATATCTGTTTATGTCCCATGACTCTAGCCATTTAATTATTTCAAAGTTACCATCTTCATATAAGGTGTTGCAAGTTGGAGGTGAAAGCCTAGACCAGACCTCCAAGGAGCTCATAGTGCAACACCATGTGACACCCATGCTAAGGGCCAAGAGCAGCAGTGGCTACCAGTCCTTCACCAGTCACTCACCCTGCACAGTTCCTGAGCAAAAGTGCCATTAGCCTAGACAACTTTGTAGACTGTGAAGACATTTCATGGCTGCATTCCTCAGTTCAGTTTCTGATAGCTGACCTGCTCTTATTTATGTTTCCTTGCCTTTCCCCTAATTCGTCACTCTTTTTTTAAAATACTTATTGATTTGATACCATTTATTGTTATTTTTAAAATTTTTATTTATTTATTTATTTATGTTTAATTTGACCAGAGAGAGAGAAAGGAAAAGTGAGAAAGCAAGCTGCCAGGTCCGGGACTCAAACCGCAGTCAGCCCTGTGGGAATCCAGCACCTTTAACCACCACACCACCTGCTGGTTCCT